GGGGGGGGGGGGGGGGGGGGGGATCATGCAATCGCATCTACTCACCGAATAGCTTCATCGAACACGCCTTTCAGGTTGCTTTGGGTCAGTGCGGAGCACACGAGGTATTTGTACGCGCCAATTTCTCGTGCACAAGCCAATCCATCCCGAAATTCTATCGGTCGCTGTCTCTTCTTCTCCTTCAGTTCTTTTACTTCTTTTGAGGCGTTTTCGAATGCATGTCTGTCTCCATTCTTTTCGGCATCCTCTCTTCTGTCGTACTCTTCTTTCAAGTCAAGTTTGGTACCGACCAGGATGATAGGGATATTGGGAGCGTGGTGATCAATCTCAGGGTACCACTATATCAACCAGTGGTCAGTGCACCATGCTTGCAAGTGCCAGCAACAAGGTGAACCTACCTTGGATCGGACGTTGTCAAATGAGGCCGGATTTATGAGAGAGAAGCAAAGCAGGAATACGTCGGTTTGGGGGTATGACAGCGGCCGCAACCGGTCGTAGTCTTCCTGACCAGCCGTATCCCACAGTCCCAGGCTGATGGGCTTGCCGTCGACCATTAAACTAGTCGTATAGTTATCAAAGCTAGGGTTGCACGTCAGCGCACATTTCTTGCATCCATCCAGCACGTGTGTCGGGAGCAGCTCGCAGGACAAACTCACACTGTAGGAATGTACTCGCCGGGGAAGGCATTTGTCGTGTATGAAATGAGAAGACATGTCTATAATACTGCATCAGTCTCGATGAGATTCTTGACGGCTGTAGCGATAGAATTGGACAGAGATGAGGAAAGTGTCGGTATCGAGATGCGAACCTTGCCAACAGCACCGTCACCGGTCACGACGCACTATTGAGAGGGGTTGGCCGTCAGCACAGGATCAAATTGAAATCACGGATGCAGCCCGAGCTGGACAAGGCAAGCAAACCTTCAAGGATTGAACGTTAGGCTGAGCCATTCTGCCGTGACGCCGAGGATAGAGTACCGTACTACGCGGCTTTGTCGTGATGCGGCGAGGCGTGGAGGGGAAAGCTGAGGAGTCAGGAGGTGGTTGGTGTGGTTGGTGGTTATTGGTGGAGGATGAGGAGAGGAGGAGGAGGAGGAGGAGTCGAGGGCTCGTGCTTCAGACGGCTGGTGAAGATTCGGCCAGCCGATGATTGTTGTATCGCAGGGCAGATCGAGGCGGACAGCTAGCAAAAAGAAGGTGGAATTAAAACAAGAATAAGTTGGTCAGAGATTCGGGGGTCGCGGTCGAGGAGCAGCCAGGAGATGTGGTGACGGAAAGGATCGAGCGAGGCCAGACGCAAGTTTCAAAGGCTGCATTAAAAGCGTTGGAAACAAGTCGACACAGCGGAACCACTCTAAGCCGCACTGCTTCAGGCTTCAGGAGCACGAGGGGGACGAGTGGGCGGCGGGTGGGCGAGGGCGGCCAGACCAGACCAGACCAGACCAGACGCTTTCTTCGCTTGATGGAGCCTCCCAGAGTCCCAGCCGTATCCTGCTTAAGTATGAGTAGTTCGCTTGACGTGGTGTGTGGTGTGTGGTTGGGCTGATGATCCAATCGTCGATGGTCGTCGATGGCCGAATCGCTCAAGCAAAGCAGGGTTAGCAGAGCAGCTGAGCAGCTGAGCGGCAGATGGGGAGGGCTTCGCTTGGGGTTTGGACTGCGTTTCTGCTTGGCGCCAACGCTCGCACAGGTCGAACTCGAGACTCCCGATTCTGGGTGGATGACTGGATGTCTCAAGGGCTGTCGGTTTGGTGCACTAGCGCCGACGGTGGCTGCTCAAGCGGTGGAGATGGAACGAGGTGACGGAGATCATAAGATGAGGCCGCACGAGATCTGCCACGGACTAGTTGCCCACTCCGTAGATGCGAGGAATTTCTTCGTTTCATCGAACCAGCGAGCAGATTTATTCGCATGTCTGTTGTCAACCACAAGCGCGGCGTCTGACCTAGACTGACTGGCGCAGACGGCAGTCAACACGTCCGCCGCTCGCACGTCACCTTAAACTTAAAATAAATAAATTGTCCGAGACTGCCAGCCACCGGATGAGCTGCGTTCTTTGTCTTTGTTTCAGCCTTTATTCGTTTGTGTTGGCATCTGCATCTCATTACTGCACATTGCATCCGGCCTAGATTTGCCTGCCGTTCATTCCCTTTGTACTAGAGCCTGAGGCAACCCTCTCAAGTATCCAATTGGGAAGGCACATCCAGTGACAGGTCGATTCGCCCCGCTGCTATTCAACTTGACTGAAACACCATTCGAGTATCGACCTGAAGCAAAACCACACCTGGCCGGCTGAGTCAGAGATAGCAATTGCACCGTCGCTTCCATCACTAACACACTTGCTTGACTCCATTCGTGTGCCTTTCTGTCACGATGAATAGTCACAATGTCATCAACCAAACCCGTCTCGGTCAACCCCACAAAAGGGCCAGAGAGTCCTTAGAGCATCCAAGTGGATATGAAGCCGACCTCTAAGCACCGCTTCAGCATCCTGCTCCCACCGAACAGTTATGGTAGGTGGCTACGTATTATCAATTTCTGCTGACAAAGGTCCATGCTTAACAGACCACCAGGTCATTTGTGGCGGGCCCTAGGCATTATCTCTCTTGATTGTGTCGCCTCGGCCGTTCGAGGACGCGATGAGTGCGAGTCGTTTGATGCCAATCTGTGACGAGGCACGCTTCAATTATGACAGCCACACACTTGGCGGAAACAGGGCGGAAACAAAACGAGCTGTCAAACATCTAGGGCCCAAGGCAACGACGGCACGCCCCTGTAGGCATTTTCCCATTGCATCACCGCCTCTGACGTCGCAGATAGAGCATGGTCCAGTTCTCCTAAAAGTCCTATGCAACGAGATCGTTCAATTCCGGAATTTCCATGAAGTCGGTTCCTACAAAAGTCTCTCTGGGTGGCTGAGAGCCCGCGGTGCGGGACCTTGTTTCCGATCCGCCGAGCATTGACTTCCGCATCAACTATACGTCTACTGCCATCCTAGGGTAGGTATTTAATTGATTTCGCAACACATCCTTCTGCACTGTTAATATAAGATGCTGTTTTTATCTAGACCCACTGCGGCTTTGGTACCGAATGTCGCACTCACTGGCCCTGCTAAAAGCCCTCGATGTCTCGGGGACTGGTTCACGGTGTTTGTGGGGCGCTCATGGTCCAGGAATTTCGGAAACCAAAGCCAGATCGTCTAGCATCGGTTCCAGCATCTTGGATCACCAGGATCTTTATCAACAAATCATGAACAAAAAGACAACAAACCCACCACCCAGGCGCGAACTAGAAATATGGGTGATGTTCGGTGTCATCCAAGCTTGTCCTGAGGAATTCTTGCTTCTATTTATTGTACTCGACTTACCCTCTATAGTCGCATAATTTCTTGCCAGCAACCGTGGCCACTAGCATCCATCTATGGGGACATCCAACTCCACAAGCAGCCGCGGACCGGTCCCGAAAACGATGGAGGGATTGCGACCAGGGCTAGCCTAGCTCAGGGATTGCCGACCGCCATCCAAGCCGTTGACGCCACATAGTGCGCCCAGTTCAATACCTAGGGCTGTCATAAACGACGATAGACGGCTAGTTGTACAGGAATGCTGTCCGCGTCTCCGCCATCTCAACCTTGGTGTGGCATGTATCATCATCTTCGTCTTTATCTTCTTCGGGGTAAATGAATCTCCTTGTTATTACGAACATGACGAAAAGTATATTATATGTATTTTGCATAATTGCACGGCTTCACTGCCTCTGCCAACTCCAACTCATGGACAATCATCTATCATTTGATAACAACTTTGACAAGTATAGGCCACCGACTCCATGTCCCGCCCCGACTACAAGTCTCGCATCTCTTGGAATTCTTGGACCAAAAGAAAACAAACGCCTGAGAAAAAAGCCAAGACTAACGAGAGCATGGCCTTCAACCGAGTGGTAATGGTTGCTCTCTTTTCTGCTTAACAGAAAACGAAGTTGACCTCTGCCCGAGAGGTTTCTTGACGCTAGACAATTATCTCTTTGCCCTGAAGCATGTCCCATGTAGCTGGTTTCGAAAGATCGAATCTACCTAAGCCATCGAACCGATGCTTGGCCTTTTTCTCGTCGACATACGACATGGCAGTCTGTCGAATTTCCTCCCAGTCTTCCGTATGAGAACCCAGAACGCCTGGTGCGATTGAAATAAGATGGAAAGCCTCTCGAATCCAGGAAATAGAATTCCACCCTTCTTTATCGCTACGAACAGGAACCGATCGCAGGATGTTCTCAAGTCGATGGATGTCACGGATCTTTCCCACCACTATACGAACTAATAGCATTGAAGAACGGTCCGATTCAACTGAGTATTCCCATACTGAGCTGGCAGCTTTTGGCTCACCCTCAATTACCAACTTGTCCTTGACATGGTACATGGTGTGCTGCAAACCTGGCTTAACATCGTTTTTAGGGCCTGACAAAAGGGCCCAATGGTAACTGGAAGAATCTGGTTAGCGGCCGCTTAGGTTTCTTGTGCTTCCTTGTGTTCGAGGTTTGCATACGAGTCTTCTCTGCCTGGCATCTTTGCTGAGCTACCACGGACATAGAGCCCGACATAAAGTCGAGGTTTGTTGCAGGGAAATCTATTCGCCCGAAGCGGCGACAAGAGACAGCAAAGGCCAGCCATTTTTTGCACCCGACAGGAAGATAGGAACTATGTCAGGTGAGGAACATTAATGCATTGTGCAGAAAAAGCGGTCCAAGACAGCGAGCCACATAGGATATATACTATGAGCTTCAATGACAAAATTATCTACACGGGAAGCGCCGGCAATTGCAATTAAAAAAGCAATAACGAGGTAAAATTGGAACCTGGATCTTGAGTTACACAGAGAGAGAAAAATGGCACCGCCTGTCCACATGGAGTACAGAACCGCTTGATCGACCAGGGAGCGAAAAATGAAGCTGGACAGGGGCACACTTGCTTTGCATTGCAAAAAGGCTCGAACCAGGCTGACCTTGTTGACACTTGCCAGCAATGCTCCGCTGCCTGGCGAGTTCACACAGTAACACGAGGCTTGAGACGGACATGGGAGCAATTTTGCACCTTCCCTGTGCGGCCAAGGCAGACCTGGTCTGGTCAGACCAACATGAAGTCCGAGTACAAGCTCTGTGTATGTATGATGTTGGCACGAGTTGGTTAAATCAGACCACCTGCAGAAGGCCAGGAAACGAATCATGGAATGGGACTCCAGGACTCCAGGACTCCAGAATGCGCCAACAGGGCTGTTGTCCAGTGGGATTGCTACGGAAGACGAGTGTGTGACTGGAGACGTGGAGAGTGGTGGGAATACCTGAGTGGGTGTCGTTTGTCCGGGCTTTCGTCTGAGACGTGTGCACTGTGCAATCTCGGTAATGACCCGACTGTTGGAAAGATTTGACACATGCATGCTGTAGGACGGATTACGAAGCATCCCGGTATGCAAGGTGTTCAGGTTGTTTTGGGAATCGGATGGACTGGCAACTGATCACAATCTGGAGCCAAGACGCGCGGGAGCCGAGGACGGGAATAATACGTGCTGCGGCTGCGGAGAACCTGGGTCATCAGTCGATTGACCAATTTGCAAATGCCGTTGGCCCCCCCTGTCTTTGTTAGTGGGCCGAGTCGTCTCCCATGTTGGTCAGATTGGTTTGCTGATGGATGATGGATGATGGATGATGGATGTTTTGGGGCGAGCACAAATAGTTGCGCTGTGAATAGCCCAAGCTAATTATGGCAGGGCGCGGGCAACTCGGGAACGCAGGCCCAAGGCCAGGGGGGAGTCAATGTCGGAGCCATGTCCGTCGCCTAACATGGATGGATTTCGACTCTTTGCACACGGAACTAGGATCTATTGCATACCTTCGGGTCTACGGAGTAGGGATTGCCTGTTCATGGTTCGCTGGTTCGGCAGTTATCCCGAGGTCTCGAGAACACTCAGAAGGGGGCAAGCGCTGAGACAGGAACAGACCACTGGTTCATACAATGGAGAATGCGACAAATGTCAAATTCTAAGAATAGCTGTAGCCGTAGGGTTCAGCGCAATGGAGGAATAAGAAAGAGCGTGGGATTGTCTTGGACGTGCGCAGGTAGGTATACGACAGATACGGATACTGGCCTTGGGACGGACGGCATTGCATGAAGCAAATTTAGGCGTCTTTGTTGCTTCACAGGCCAGCTTTTCAGCTACAGTAGCCTTTGACATGTCCATCTACCCAAGAAGCCAGGGCGTGTGAATAGTACACATTACAGAATCCTATGTCAATCTACGCGCGCTTTTTGCCGGAGGAAGGGAACCGCATAGTGTTTTCGCTGGGTGTCAGCCTTCGCTTCCACCCTTGCTCAATATCCCGACATCTAACCCTGGGAGCCTTCAGCAGACCAATCAAGCCATCGCAGGCCCTTTCAATTCGACTCTCGAGATGTTGTACTGAGCCAGCAAATGTTCCTTCATATCTTAATGTGCTGCGAAGTGGGGACGACTCACAATTGGACAATACTTGTATACCAACCGCAATAGTTGCATCTTGTAGGCAGCATAAAAAGATGAACTGCCACAAACCCCGACGTTAGCCGCAACTACCAACTCGTAATTCTGGCGCGCCAAGTGTGACTTACCGCGACCAAATTCGAGGGTTACATACAAAAAATTCGTTTTTGTTGACTTTTGGGCTTCCAAAATGGAGGTAAGACTAAACTCCAGTACCTTCTCAGCAACTGACTGTCAGTCAGTACTGATGGTGAAGGTAGCTATCAATATACCCTGCAGCTGAATCAAGTATTGTGTTGCTTCGGCCACCGCCTTTAACTGCTCGCTGTAATCGAAACACGCCAACATGTCTTCCTGCTCAACATCTCGACTCTTCTGAGAGTTCCATTCCCTAGAGTTGTGTTTGCCGATATCCCGCTGGTCGACATACCCATCGTTCCCTGTTGTTGGCCGAAGGACAGGCTCAGAATTGCTCTAATACGTGGACGTTGGCCAGGAGTATCGTCCGGAATTATCCAACTTAATCGAAGAGGTTGCAAATGGGCAATAACTGAAACCCACACTGTCTCTTAGTGGCGGACTGCAACGGTATCAAGAAGGAGAAAAGAGAGGATATTTGTTTCTCCTGCGTACGTGAGTCTGGCTCAAGTAGACCAAACGCTGCTTTGGACGGAACATGGCTTGTTGGTGAGACCGAGGAACCCCGGTCACTCGGAAATCCTTTCTGCTTCCCAACGCACACACATAATCCCGCTAGTGCCAGATTGCGATAGTGAGCCGTCTTTTAAAGTAAGCTACTACCCTCCCCATTATACGTCGGTCTCACTTATTAACACTGGCCCCAATATACTGTACATGCAAAATCCGTTTCACCTCTGCCGTCATTGCCATGGCCTCGTACGTAGATGGGTGACTCGACGCATTCGTAGTTTGTATAGTAGCATGCCGTGCGGGAAATCATAGTGGCGATATTTTTGAGTACGAGTGGGAACCTTTAGCGGCAGAGGATCATACTCCCTTCCGATATCATATTCTAGTCGTTTCAACACAGTCGGAAGTTCTCCTGCGGCGATTTCAAGATGTCTATCAATAGCGCCGGGCAATATCGATCTCTAATAATCGGCAGATATATCACAAAGGATTTGCCCGCTTCCTGACAAAAGCTTCAATGCTGTTCGATGGTCACGCTGTTGAATCGCAAGCTGTGGAGGCAAAAGTCCAGCGGAGTCTCTGATATTTTGTTTTGTCACTGTGTCGAAGAAGTTGGCCAACAACTGGAATGTTTTGTTTCAATACCGAAAATGTAGTGGTGTCCATTTGAGACTGTCCAAGGAGTAGACCTCGTATCTGGTTTCAAGGGTCTTTTCTTCATCTCTACAACTATAAGATCCGCCAGACACTAAGGCAGCGTGCAGACAAGTCCAACGCCCGCCTCCTTCTGCAGTAGTGTACGCCCAAAGCAGTTCCGTAAAAGCCGGAAGGGAAATTGATCGTCACTTGGGGATATCTCAGCTCTCACCTGAACGTATAGATTGATCGATCCGTGGCAAGGGGCGAGCGCCCAAAGACGGTCTTGCGGGTGGTGGATGGAGAATAGCATAGTTGTGTGCCGAACAAATGGACTTTTGCCGCCGACCCTGGTCCGCCCCCTGATATGTCGAGGCTGCAGTGCCTGGGATTAACGAGGGAAATCTGCTGCTAATAATAACAATCATGCCTTTCTTGCGGAAGCTCGGTACAACGTTGAATGTGCCAATGAAACCATATGCTCAGCCTGAAGAGTCATCTATGGCTGCTCCCCTCCTATTTTAGCATGCAGAATGGCAAATAATCAGATGTACAGTAAGCTTGAGTGCCTCAAGTTCCATAGCGGCATGACCATTGAAGCCTGGGGTACGGCTGATGAGGACGGGAGATGGATCAATTATCAAGTGAGTTTGAGGTTGATAAAAATAGCAAGCCAAGTTTGTCGTCGTTTCTGACAGGGCAGCAGGGCCAAGCTGCAGGCCCCAGGCGGGCAAGGCAGGAACCAACGTTGAACCTTCATTGTTGGTTGGAGGTACCCGCCTGGGCAGGTACCCATGCAGGCACGGCAAGTGCCCCGCCTGTCGTGGCTAGTAGTAACTATGGAGGACTAACTGTCAAGTTGCATCTGGCCTTGGAGCCCACTTACTCAAACGTCACGTCGTCTCCGCGTCTTGCATCCACCATCCGCACATCCGCCATCAACAACAACCTCCTGTTCCTGGGACATGGCCGTCTGTTTATGCCAACTGCATCGGCCTGGCCCACCATGGACTCAATCGAGTCGTCCCCCCAAAATGTAGATTCTTCGCGTACCAAGACTCCGTCACGAACGCCTGCCGCAGCCCGAACCCCAAATGCCCGTCGCGCCGTCAGCGCCGATCCGCCCTCATCACACCGTTCCGCTGTTCATACGCCTCTTGACCGCACTTCCACTCGGGAATTCCTCAGCTCCGTCCGACGCGGCGTCTCAGCATCCGGCGGGCATCGCAACAATGCACCAACGCCCCATGCGAAAGCTGCGCGCCAGGCCCTCGACCAGCGTCGCAATGCCCTGCTCACTCCGGGAAAGATTAGGCGCCAAAGCCTGGTAGACCAGAGGGAAACCCCGATGGGTCTTTTGGGACGCCTGGCTGGAGTATTGGCATCCGGTAGCAAGCCCATTGTGTCGTCGTCCCCGCCGCAGGATAAGCGCTCAAGCTTTGCGCCCATTCAAGAAGAGGATGACGACGATGCTGACTTGCCCAGACCACGTCTGTCGCTGCCAATCGATCAGGACGACGATTCTGATCTGATACCACCGCGGTCTTCGGGTTTGGAATCAGAGCACACCCTCCCAATTGTTGAAAAGCCAAGGAGAGCTTATAGTGAGCAGCCGAGCA